TTTTTTTTTTAACTTTCTGTTTGTATATTAGATTTAAAATTGTTTCCAGTTATGCTTTTGTTTATAATTTGGGAAATAAATCCGTATTATTACAAAATTAAGAATGAGTGACGTATTGTTACACTGTAGTCAAACTATACAAATATGTTAAGATTGTTTTTTTCTCAGATTATGATTTTGATTATACATCACAGATTTTAAGGGATGATTAATTTCGTATTCACGTTGAGAAAAACGCGTTAAATTTAATAACCCTTTGTTTTTACACGAAAGTTTTTTCAAAACGAAGAGGATAATTAAAAAGATTTGGTGGTGTTTGTTCACTAAGACAAACTGAAGAAAAATTAAAGACTAAAACAAAAAAAAGCTTCTTTCTTCAACAACAATGGCGGATTTCTGGGCTCAAGCAAATGCGTTACTTAGAAAAAACGTAACCTACCAGGTAATATATCCCTTTTTCCTCTACGAAATTGCTTGCGACAATCATCGTTGTTGAAAAATCCTCACATTAACATGAATATAGATACGATCGTAATTAGTTGTGTATGTCATTTTTGGTGCAGAGGAAACACTTATGGACGAATGTTCGACTAGTCCTGATTCCACTCTTCCTCTGTTCACTTCTCCTTGGGATTCAATTGTTGCTCGATCATGCGGTGAAGGAAGCCGCGGCTTTGAATAAATGTGGAAGTAAAGATGCTGAGATTGGTGGTGATTGTCCAGTACCGAAACCTCCATTGTTGCCTCCGATGTTACAGATTCCAGAACCTCAATCTCGTGCTGTTCAAGCTCGTTTCTTTTCCTACGGAGATCTTCCTGACAAGTCTTGTAGAAAAACAGGAACTTGTCCTGTAACTATACTCCTTACTGGGAATAACGATTCCTTTGGTAAAGGTACATGCTTTATTATGTTAATAATAACCTTCTTGTTCTTTGATACATTACTCTGAATCTTGGTTTGTTGCGAAACTTATCGGATGTTTTCGGGTTTCTTTCAGCGTTATCGGGGAATATATTTGGCGGTTCTTTCTCGGTGAATACCTCGGATCTTTTGTCTAGTTTAGCCAATAATGTCTTGGTAAGTTTTCCATTTGAAAAAGTGAAGACATTTATCTGTTTCAGATTTTTTACTTAAAAGGTCATGACTTTCAGGGTTCATCATTACCGGCAAGCTCAGACAACAACTATGCAGATCCAGGGATTGGCTCGGATATTCCCATCTACAGTATCCAATCTCAGTGCAGTCCAAACTCTACATGGCCATTCTCATTCGGACAAATTCATACGCGTATATGTTAATTTATCCTCTTGATATATAGCTTGATTTTGTTAGAATGAAAACACTAAGGAATTAACTTAGTGGTGGTTGTGTCTAATTATCCAGAGGTGAAGTGTGTTCAAGGTTTATGCCTCTGGAGAAATTCCTCTATAGAGGTCAATGATGAGCTTTTCAAAGGTAGTTGGAGAGGAAATCCAGAGAGGATGACTAATGAGATTGGTGCAGGTTAGTTAAAATGTTGTCTGCCATTTTTTATATGTGCTTAGTATTAAGCTTTAGATTTTACTGNCTGTTTAATNTATTTTCNATGTCGTAGCATACGATCTCTTGAGTACGGATACAAAAAACTTCAATGTGACCATCTGGTATAACTCGACAAAGAGTGACGATTCTCCAAGACAAACTTTTGTTCGANTTCCTCGCTTGATCAATTTGGTATGAAACTACGCAATGTTCGTTGAATTTTGCAATGTATACTCTTTTACATGTTTCTTTAATTGAACTGGTCCAATGGTTGCACAACGCAGGTATCAAATGCTTATCTTAAGTTTCTGAATGGTCCGGGGACAAGGATATTATTCGAGTTTGTCAAAGAAGTTCCTAAACCCGCAACTAAAAACAGTCTAGATATCGCGTCCAGGCTTGGCTCGCTTTTCTTCACTTGGGTTGTTCTTCTTCTATTCCCTGTAAGTTCTTTCACAATTGAACACTTTAGGCCATTACAAGTACTAGATTCCACAAAAATTTCATCACAATTCGTGTGTGTATATATAATTTTGCAGGTGATTTTGACATCATTGGTATATGAGAAACAACAGCGTCTAAGAATTATAATGAAAATGCACGGCCTAGGAGATGGTCCATATTGGNTGATTTCNTATGCCTATTTTCTTATCATATCAATGTTGTACATTATTTCGTTGGTGAGCTTCGGGTCAGCGATAGGACTCAAGTTCTTCAGGCTCAATGACTATAGCATCCAATTCCTTTTCTATTTTATCTACATAAATCTACAAATCTCCTTCGCCTTTCTTGTTTCTTCATTGTTCTCAAAAGTCAAGACTGCAACAGGTACTACCATCNNAATNNCTTGANTCTACTCAAGAACATGTTTTTCGAGTGAAAGTTGATGTTTTNNTGGCTTAATTGTAGTNGTTGCTTANATATTGGTGTTTGGAACTGGGCTCATGGGTAGCTTTCTCTTCCAAGGGTTGGTTGAAACTCCTTCATTCCCTGGTAAGTTTAACAAAATCAATACCTTTGAAGAACAAACAAAACACAAATGTTTATTATGATGACCATTTTAGTACCGCTTAAACAGAAAATGGGATTCTTGCCTTGGAGTTGTATCCCGGTTTTTCGCTATTCCGAGGATTGTATGAGTTCTCGGCATCAGCTGTCAGTGGAAACNGGATGAAATGGAAGGATCTNCGCGAAAGCNGAATGGATAAAGTGTTCTACATCATGTCAGTGGAGTGGTTTGTTATTCTCATTGTAGCCTATTGTATCGATCAGGTTTCTCAATCCGGAGAAAGCCCTTTCTTTTGCTTCAAGAAATCTCCNTCCCTACCAAGTCCTANTGTGCAGAGACNAAGCTCTGGAAACGTCCTCATTGACATAGAGAAAACAGATGTTACTCAGGAGGTATGGAATCTTAAAATTTTCTTATTACTACTTNTTATGTTACTTCAATTTGCAAGTAGTTCTGATCAAAAATAGAAAATATTCAGAGAGAAAAAGTTGAGCAATGGAGGAATGAAGGGAACACAGGGCACGCGATCGTGTGTGACAATCTGAAGAAAGTGTATCCAGGTAGTGATGGTAATCCACCAAAAATAGCAGTAAGAGATTTATATCTCGANNTGCTTTCGGGAGAATGTTTTGGTATGCTTGGACCTAATGGTGCTGGAAAAACTTCCTTCATCAACATGGTCAGTACCCCAAATCTTTGAATACACCAAAGCTGTGCTGTTACAAGTGTCAAATTTTGTAATCTTGTGCTGTATTTTTTCTTGTTTGGACTAGATGACCGGGCTTCTGAAACCGTCATCTGGAACAGCGTTCGTTCAGGGTCTGGATATATGCAAGGATATGAACAAAGTATACACAAGCATGGGCGTATGTCCGCAGCACGAGTAAATAATTTTTGCATTTTCTTTCCATTACCAAGCAAATAAAGAAGAGTTTTCATAATTTTAATGCCATTATCTTGGTTTCAGCTTGCTTTGGGAGACGCTAACAGGAAGGGAGCATCTTCTCTTTTATGGGAGACTAAAGAATATCAAGGGCTCTGCTTTAACCCAAGTATTTTTTTTATCGCTTTGCGTTTTTCTTGTGTGTTATTACTCTCTAAAGACAATGTTGATTCATGGATGAATATATATGATCATTTTCAAGGCTGTGGAAAAGTCTCTCAAAAGTGTCAGCCTTTTCGATGGAGGAGTTGCTGACAAACCAGCTGGAAAATACAGTGGAGGTATGAAAAGGCGACTTAGTGTGGCCATTTCGCTAATCGGGAACCCAAAGGTACATTTCCTTGTCTCTTGTTATGTGATGTTGTCAGCAATAGCTCAAATTTATTAAGGACTCCATGTTCTGATTTGTTAAAAGGTGGTTTACATGGATGAACCTAGCACCGGACTTGATCCAGCTTCAAGAAAGAACTTATGGACCGTGATCCAGCGTGCAAAACAAAACACAGCAATAATCCTTACAAGTAATATTAGTTAGCAAACAAAAAAAAGTAATATATACTCTATGGAATGTGTGAAGCGTGCCTCAAAAATTAGACTTAATCTTCAACGTTAAGACTACATTTTTTCAGCTCACTCGATGGAAGAAGCAGAATTTCTATGCGATAGATTGGGTATATTTGTAGACGGAGGCTTGCAATGCATAGGAAACCCGAAAGAGCTAAAGGGAAGGTACGGCGGATCGTACGTGTTTACGATGATGACCTCACCGGAACACGAGGAGAAAGTAGAGAGAATGGTTAAATGTGTATCACCAAACGCCAAGAGAGTGTATCATCTTTCAGGAACACAGAAATTCGAGATACCTAAGCAAGAAGTCATGATTGCAGATTTGTTTTTGATGGTGGAGGAAGTCAAAAGCAAATTCACAGTTTTTGCTTGGGGACTCGCAGACACAACTCTCGAAGATGTCTTCTTCAAGGTTGCTTCAACTGCTCAAGTCTTCAATTCCTTGTCTTAATGTTCGTATGATCCTCATCCCTATTTAGGGTATCAATAATAGTATTATGATTCAAGTTAGGGTTTATTATTAATAAAATTTAATGCCTTGAGAGACAAGTTAACTGCATCAGACTTTGAAGAAAACTGATATAGATTGACAAATTTATTGGCCGTTCTAATAACACTGTAGTATCTGATTATAAAAATGTTGCTTCAATGAGAACGAGAAACACCCTAAAGCTCATCACGGTCCGTGACTTCGCAGCCAGAGCCAGAAACTAACGATCTTGTCATGTTCACTATATGCTCTTGATCGATCCCAAACACGCCTCCAATATTCACGACTCCAGGATTCTGGCTATTGTAAAACGAGAGAGCGGTGGCTCGTTCGAAGCCACCGCTCAAGCAAAAATGAAGCAATCCTTTAGGGAAGACAAAGACATCGCCTTCTCGCAGAACTGTCTGAAAAATCTTGTCGTTGGTATCTACAAATCCAGCAAAGACGACTCCACTAACCACAAAGAGCATCTCGGATGACCTCGGATGCGAATGGAACGGCACAGATCCGTCCCTTTCGAGATCAGTCCGAGAGACCGAGAGGCCGAGAGTGTTTAGACCTGGAAACTCTAATGCAGTGAGCAATGTGACGCTCGACTGGAGAAAATTGTCCGTGTCTCCAGCTACAGTAAGCTTAGTGGACTTGAAATCCTGAGCGTTGATCTCGGTCGGGTTCTTGCAAGGATAACCGTTTATGAAGAAGCTACGTTGTTCTCCCGGAGCAGTCGGACATGTGTCCTGCATATTGTCCGAATCCGCGGAGACAGATAAGGAGATTGCACTAAACAAGATCATGACGAAGAATTTCATCCTTACGAATTGTGATAAAGAGTACTTAACTTGTGTGATCAATCAGATATATATAGAAAGTGAAGGAAGACAACAAAAATAAACACTCTGTTTCTAGGCGATGTGGCTTAGAGTTGAGTACACTACTACTTGGTGGCTTTTTGAGTAAGATTATGTTTTAAGATGAAAATTGCTTCTAAGTAATACTTTTGACTAATTTTTCAACTTACTGATGTTGACATTGTTACTTCTTCAAGCTCTAATTCTGTTTTGGTTACCTGAAAATGCAATTTTGCTTGCCATAACGGGAAAGCAAAGAAGCTTCACTTCCATGAAACTTTCGAATTTTTCCTCGAATGAAAAGTACAACGGTTTGGTTAGCTAGGTATTAGCCAAATTCTACAATTGAAAGGGACAAAGATTATGTCCAACACCCAATTAGTCCAACGAAGGAAAAACTTGGAGATTATGCGAACCCACGGCGAGATAGAGCACAATTACTCTAGTGCCCGTTTTCAAGCCTGGAAGTATCGATATCATCGCGCTCTTCTACAATCTGAAGAATATCTTTGACGAACTTTATAAAAGAGCAGAGTCCACCCAAGAAATTATGGTCAATAACGCCATTTCCATCGAGAACATGCGCGAAATCAACCAGCTTTACTTGTGCCCGCGGCGCCTGCTCAGTAGCTCCTCCTTTCATCAAGAACGAATCATTCTCATAAACCATCAGAATCGAGCAAGAGTTGAAATGGAAAATCGTTTGGGTTTCAAACCAAGCCTTAAGCTCCAGCAACTGCGCTAAGATCCCATTAGAACCGCCATAAACCTCAGACGCAAAAGCACAGTTTGGAATTGAGTTAGAGTCAGCAAGCGAGTTCGATGACACAAACTTCCTCAGAGCCAACCTAGCGCCATCGACTTTATACCCAAGAACAACCCTCTTATCGGGTCTCCAAAAGCTCGATTCTTGGTGGTCAAAAATCTTAAAACCCGAAACCCTAAACCCCAAGGAAACCGTGGTGGTCTCTCTATCTTTCTTAATGCATTTCTTGAAGTACACTTCAGATACATCAGGATACCATGTCCTAGATCCAATCTTAACATCCATTACCGACGGATTTAAATACCCCGAAACAACGTCTTCAAGAACCATGTGTGGAAGCTTACCAGATCCATTAGATGCTTCAACTAGCTGAGTGCCATGATACACGGGGAAATATCGATGAATGTGATCCGGAACCTCCTTGTTCAATGAGAAGGACTCATAGAACTTAGCCTCGTTTTCGCCACGAGCATCTCCCTGAAGTGGCTTATAGAATCTGCCTTCGTCGTCTACAAGTGGACCAAGCTTCCCATCTCTAGCAATGTGACCAGCAACTTGATGTTCAGGGACCTTGAGCATCTTTATGCAAACAGTAATATATGATAATCTGAAGAATAAGAAACCAATTCACCAGAAAAAAATTATTTAGTTATTCTTCTTAAGACATATTATAGATCTATAAACATTTAACAGATCATTGACCTAAACTCAATCGCAATTTCAAACAAGATTGAAACTTTTCAATTCCAGTAGAATCAGAAGGAGAAACACAGATAAACCCAAACGCAAAATCCAGATATGAGTGTCGATAAAAGCGCGAAAAAAGGGAAATTGAAACAAACCCAGAATCAAGCCATGCGGAAAAAAACAAAAATTTGGGATCTCTCAAAGCGTATCAAAAAGTTAATAATCTTTCGATTAGAAAATTGAATTGAATGGAACTTTTCTAGAAAAGTACGATTTTTGTTAATAGAAAAAGAATCGAGATGGAGCAGGACGAAGAATTTGGTTCAAAGGTAAAAAAAATTGATCAACGAAATTCTTAACATTGAGGAAGAAAATATTACCCAATAAATCTCCACGGAGAAATTTTGATGCTACAAACAGACGACCAAAGATGAAAAATTTGTTCTATGAAAAGAAGAAAAAAAATATAAGCTACCTTGTCGGGAATGCG